ATCAAACGCTTTTCTATGTCTCTTGAGATAATCATACAGTTTTTCTTTTTAGTTAATATAGTGAATTACATTACTTGATTTTCTAATGTTAATCTAACAGTGCATTTTGGAATAAATCACTTGTTTGTATTATTCTTTCTATATATCATGGCCATTTTTAATACACAATAAATGTGATGAAAAGTACAATTATTTTTACTTATTTGACAGAAAAATTTTGTTTAAGAGGTATGCATTTGCCCAATGTATCTTTGTAGTTTCTGGAAAAAACAATCTATTTACCTCATATACTTGGTAACTTTCACAAATTCATAATGTTTTAATAAAGATTGGAAAATCTGTAAGTTATGTGGCTACTTCCTCAGTGGTAATACAATATAGAACTGGAATAGTATGCTGTTTGACAAATGTAACTAGATCCCCGCCTTTGCTTTTTAGATTTAGTAGGAATTTCAAAGAACCTCTAACATGGGAAGGGAGGTGGGAGCGGGGTTCAGGATGGGGAACACATGTAAGTCCATGGCTGATTCATATCAATGTACAGCAAAAACCACTACAATATTGTAAAGTAATTAGCCTCCAACTAATATAAATAAATAAATGAAAAAAAAAAAAAAAAGAACCTCTAACAACTTTGTAGCTGCTGCTAAGCAGCAAGTCCAATTCTGTTCAGTGAAGATGTATTTAAAATACAGGAAGCAGAGAAGCTTCTAGTCATCTACAATTATCTTCCTTAAATATTAAAATATTTCCTTGAGGATTTTATTAATTTTCTTATAGCATAACTCAATTTTCTAACTTTTTAAAAATTTGTAACTTTTTTAAAATTTATTTTTAATTGGAGGATAACTGCCTTACAATGTTGCGTTGGTTTCTGCCATACAGCAATATGAAGCAGTGTCAAGTATACAATATCCCCTCCCTTTTGATCCTCCCTCCCACCCACTCCGAATTCCAGTCCTCTATGTCATCACAGAGCACAGGGCTGAGCCCCCCCCCCCCCCCCGGTGCTAGAGTAACTTCCCACTAGCTAGCTATTTTACACATGGTAATATAGGTATTTATAACTTGACTCAATAGAAACTTTTACACATTGTTGGTTTGACATCCTCATTTGTCTGGTAACAGACAACTGTTAACAAAATGCAATTTTTAATATGCCTAATGGGGACCGCACATACAGTTCTGGCTCTCAGTTCCCTTCACTTAATAGACTGCAGTTACTCTCCTATATGTTGAAAGCTAAGTCAAGAGTCCATTTTATATACATACACGAAGTAGTATGTATATAAAGAAGTAGAAAAGAACAGATCCTCTACTATAAGATTAGAGTCAATGCACTGAGGTCCTGTTGTATTTTTTTACTCTCTTCATTCATCTATTTGAGGCGGGAGTTGTCTCTGTGCGCTTTGTCTCTCATCCTTGTTTCATCCCTCTTATACTAGTGATCATTTGTTTCTAGACCATTGGTCTAAGCTGTACTAAAGTAAATACAGGCTCTATCTTTATTTTTTCTACATCTTCAGTTTATATCAGACATTCACATGTGCTTATCTCTGTCTGGTCCAAGCTTCTGGTTCTATCAGCTTGATTCCAAGTGACCCCAGGTCTAGGGATGATAATTCCACTATTCCTTCAGAGATCAACAACATTCTTCTTTGTGTATTTAAAATTATTGTGAAAAAAAAAATTATTGTGATTTTACTTGTTAGCAATATGTAGTTTTTTTACTTTCAATAAAGTCTGTGAAGCTCAAAACCAAAATCATAATGCCTACATTAACTCTTGCTATTCCACTAAATGGTATAAAAATTCAAGGAGAGTTATAATTAACAAAGGTCTAAGCAAATGTCATACAAGTAAGATATTATGTAATAATTTTTTTTTCTGGAAGAAGGGAATTAGCAAAATGAAAAATTATTGATTGGAAGAATCTTTTGTGCTGTATTTAATTTAAAAAGTACACGATGACTTTCAGTTCTGGAGGCAATTGTGATGATGGTTACACAATGTAAATGTATTTCATATCATTGAACTGTACACTTAAAATGGTACATTTTATATTATGTATATTTTATTACCACCTAAAAAAGGTTTACCAATAAATTACACTACTTTTTAAGATTTATATTAAAACATACTCCTCTGTTTTAAGATAAAGAAAAAAAAAGTATAGTTGCTCAGTTGTGTCCAACTCTTTGTGACTCGAGACAACAGCATGCCAGGCTCCTCTGTTCATGGGATTCTCCAGGCAAGAATAAGTGACACTTATTTCTTAAAATATTCATGTAATAAACATTCTTCAGAAACTAAGTTTGTTTGCTAAATTGTTTAACAAACTGCCTGAGCAACTCTGACTATAGGATCTGGGGGAGGAAGACAGAACATGGTGTTAGAAAAAGTAGAAACAGAGTCTTTAGGCAATAGTGTTGGGTCTTCTTGTTTACAAATCATCATCCAAAACATGCTTTCAGTGATTTCGGAAAAATGGAGTTTCAACTGATGCCTCTAAAACTGGAGATTTAGATTACAAACGGTATCACAAAACTGAAAAATCTTGAAGGCAAGGATATTTTAGTAATTGTGCAATTGCCAGGACCAGGAAGTAGATGGCAATTTTGTAGGCACCCAAGGGATTTTGGGGCTTCCCTGGTGGCTCAGAGGTTAAAGCGTCTGCCTGCAATGAGGGAGACCTGGGTTCAATCCCTGGGTCGGGAAGATACCCTGGAGAAGGAAATGGCAACCCACTCCAGTATTCTTGCCTGGAAAATCCCATGGATGGAGGAGCCTGGTGGGCTACAGTCCACAGGGTTGCGAACAGTTGGACACGACTAAGCGACTTCACTTTCACTTTCAAGGGATTTTGGAATAAAAGATCCTGTATTAAAAAATACCCATCATGAATCTTCTTCATAAAGAAGACTGAATGCCAAAGAATTGATGTTTTGAGCTGTGGTGTTGGAAAACTCTAGAGAGTCCCTTGGACTGCAAGGAGATCAAACCAGTTAATCCTAAAGGAAATCAATCCTGAATATTCATTAGAAAGACTGATGCTGAAACTGAAGCTCCAATACTTTCGCCACCTGATGCGAACATCCAACTCATCAGAAAAGACCCTGATGCTGAGAATAACTGAAGGCAGTAGGAGAAGGGGATGACAGAGGATGAGATGGTTGGATGGCATCACTGACCAATGGACATGAGTTTCAGCAAGCTCGGGGAGATAGTGAAGGACAGGGGAGCCTGGACTGCTTCAGTCCATGGGGTCCCAAAGAGTCAGACACGACTGAGTGACTGAACAACAATCTTGAATCTTGTCTGTGTGTAAAAATATGAAGCTACCTCTTTAGTTTTCTCTACTTTCCAGGCTAAATCTCACTAGCAGATGTCCAAAGTAATTTTATTTTGGCATCTTGGCTAAAATGATCTTCCAAAATGTGTAATGGTAATAACAATAATGATAACACCCAAATGATTATTGACTCTAACATCACAAAGAGACAGAAGTTCTAGGAAGAACCTCATGCCTGAAAGTCTAAAACTGGGAGTCATCAGCAAACAGGAATATTTCATGGCTGGCTGAAAATAAACATGGAATCAACGATTAGGAGTACAGAAGCAGAGCATAGTTTGGAGGAGTTCTCAAACAAGGAATTTTTTTATGCTTTCAGCAGGCTTCACTTTGCAAGATAGATCAACCTCCATTCTTCAATAATTCGACGTAATTACCACATTTCAATTCTAGAGTGTGCTTTTTTTAGTATTACTATTAATATTATTCAAAACAAAGTTTTCCCCTCCCGGCTTTCTCTCTCTCCCCACCCTGGAACAACTCCTTTAAAGGTACGAACTATTGAGATTAGCTGGGACTTCCCTGCAGTTCAGATGGTAAAGAATCTGCCTGCAAAGCAGGAGACGCAGGTTCAATCCCTGGGTCAGGAAGATCCCCTGGAGAAGGAAACGGCAACCTACTCCAGTATTCTTGCCTGGAGAATCCCATGCACAGAGGAGCCTGGTGGGCTACACAGTCCATGGGGTCTCAGAGTCACGACTGAGCGATTAACACACACACATTGAGATTAGTTACATGTGATTTTGCCTACAGGGTACAAAACTTCCAGTTTTTTACAGTCTAAAACTTATCTTGCGAAGGGCTTTTTCAGGTAGTATCCTATTGGTCGTCCCAAATTTGTGGGAGTAATGGAGAGGTGGGCTAACCCATTCCTCCCATTTTTTCCTTTAGGAAAGAGGGTAGACACAAGGCGGCTCTAGCTGCTTAAGTCTGTAGCGGAATCACAAAACCCAGAGCCGGGTCTTTCTGCACCCAGTCTTAATCTGGACTCTTACTCTGCCAATGCTTGCGATGCGCCCGGGTCAACCGGCTCGGTAGCAGAGCAGAGACCAGCACCGCTACCCCATGGAAGGCTTCTGGCCTCACCCTAGGTCCCCAAGGTCAGCGCCCACAGCATATCCTTGCCCCAACCGTTTGACTCTGGCTCTGATCGCTTACGGGTAGTTCGCATCCACTGCAGAAGCGCTGGGAGGTCCGCCGGAGCCACCGTACGGAGTAGTTGCAGTATTGCGAGCCGCGCGGAGCGGAATTCCATGTTGGAGAAGAAAGCGGAGCAGCGGAAGGTTCGCACTGCGCACGCGCAGGCAGAGGCCGGTTCAGACACCCGATTAGACCCGGCGTGGAACCCGCCTCCCTCGGCTGCCAAAGTCCTAGGCCCCGCCTCCTCCTTGCCCCTCTCACGTGCTCCTGCGAGAGCAGGAGCCCTACTCCCCCACCTTTCATAATTCCCCTCTTAGCTGGTGGTGCTCAGCCAAGTCATTTTTCTTAAAGTGGCGCCTGAAGGCTGGACTTCTTTCCTGAGATCGCATCCCTAGAAAGCCTCCTATCTTCATTCTAACTTTAACGCCGCAGTTATTAAGCGATAGGAAACGAATGTCAAACGCCAGTCAAGGCAAAGAAACATCTCAATACACTCTCGGTAAACACATTGAAGAGACGCGGCGAGTGCCCCGGAAGCGGAAGTGTATGCCCTTCTTGAAAGGCTGGACTACGCCGAGTGGTGACGTTTCCTCATTGGGCGGAAGGTTCGGTGGCAGTCGTCGGTCTTCCAGCTGGTGGGAGTTGGCGTTGCGGTGCTGGGCGCTGGGACCCTAGTTTATCCAGTTTGGGAAGTCGGGCTGTGGGGTCGCACCTGTCTGTTTGATCCCCGCGTTCCCTGGTTTCCTCCCCTGGCGTGGGGCTTCGCGAAGGTCTCCCCGGCCCCTTTGGGCCACGGCGGTAGCGGTGCCTTTTGCGGTAAGTGTCTGCTTTTTCCCGCCCCAGACTACCGACTAGCAGCTGGGGGCAGCCACAGTCCTGCTCAGCGGGGTAGACACTCCGGAGGGACTCGGCTGCTTTGGCCACCAGCCGTCGTCATCGAGACAGAGGTGCGCTGGCCCATTTTCATCTCTTGTCCCTCACCAGAAGTTTCGTTAAAAGATGCGCTGTGACCCTTTATTAAAATTGTCTTCAGGTTTGCCAGTGCCAAATTAAATATAAGCGATTGCAGGCCTGACTCTGTTTCGCTGTCCTGATCAAGAATTTAGATGTGGCTGCTACTCCGAAAATCTGTTGACTTGTACCAGATTTTATTTTTCCACGTTAACTTGTGTCTAATTAACACAGTGTCCCGCCTGTAAGAGGCTTTCAAAAATGATTAAGGGATATCAGTTCAGTGCCATTGACGACCTAAGATACACTGATGGCTCTGTCTGTAGCATCTGGTGCTACTAGCTATTTCTTGAAACTCTTTCTCCCCTGTTGGCGTTATTGATGCCGTTCTCACATAGTTCTTTCATATGCTTCATTCAACAAAATATTTACTCTTTCTTAGCTATAAGGATGCAGAAATGAATGACTTGAACCTTGGCATGGAGGAGCTAACAGTACAGTGATACAGAGACACATAAATACACATTATAATCAAGATGAGTAATGAGAAATTCTAGTAAGGTGTAAAGAGCAATGAGAGCTATGGGAACAAAGATGATGTGCTCTGCTCCTTAAAAGATTTGTAACCTTCAGCAAGTTGATATTCTAGTCTAGCCTCAGTTTCCTCATCTACCTTAGCTTGTGAATGGAAGATTAGGTAACATGTTTGGTACGGTGCCTAGAATACAGTAGTGGTGGTGCCAAAGGGGAGGCGAACTATATCCTTCAAACTTCTTTCCCTTGATTTTTTGATCTGGTCAGTTAGTATTTTCTAACCAAATATAAAGTCCTGTGCAAAAGCATCTTCAAGCCCTCCTTCAAAGAGATTGATGACTCCTGTAACTCCACCTATCTGGAAATTCTGGACCTGCCACTGGAGTACAGTAAGATAACCATAAATGGTAGCTTTAATTTTTTTTTTCCAATTGATTTTCTTCTGTATGCCTTTGGAAAGGGAATTGGTAAAAGCTTCTCTCCTTTTGATTATTCTCAAAGTCTCAATGGACTCCTTTTAGTTGGGGATTCACCGTTGCCCTATCCCATAAACTTTCCCTGAGAGTTCTCACCTACTTCCATGGTATTATTGTTGTATGCCAACCCATTTCCACATCTTTTTCTCTAGCCCCTGTTTCATGAAATAGTATTTTAGTTTCTGTAAATTCAGTAGGTCTAAAACCAAGTTCACTCTCTCCACCTTCATTTCGTTCCCCTTTTTATTACATATGTCCTACACACACACATTTTGCTAGTTTATCTCTGAGTTTTGACCCTGGGTTTCTAGTTGAATTTTGTGGTATTCGTTCAATTTTTAAAAGAATAATAAAATGAACACCAATTGTCCAACCTAGTAGTAGAATATTGTAAGTAACCTTTAAAGCCCCTTGAATCTTGCCTCTATTAACTCTTTAACTTTCAAATCACTTCTCCTTTGTGTTCCATTCATTGGTTAATGGCATCACTAACCACCTGGTTATTCAGACTAGAGCCCTCAGAATCATTTTTGCCTCTGTTTCTCCTTCATTCTCCGTAACCGTTTGATCATTAGGTCCTATCGATTCTGCTTTATGACTAACCCTTAACTTGAGCCCTGTCCGTCTGTTTTGTGTGCTTCCTTAGTTCAAGCTCACATCTCTTGAATAGACTTTTGGAGTATGTTTTGTGTATGTAGTCTCCTTACTCTCCAGTTTTTCTCCCTTCAATGCCTTTGTTACATTGTCTCTAATTTTTAAATTATAGAACAGATTTTTCATTCTCTTGTTTCCCTTGATGAGTGTTGCTTCATGCAGTGATTATTAACCCTGGCTGCACATCAGTATAGCCAGCGAAGTGTTTCAAAACATAGGTGCCTTGTTTGGCTCTCCTAATCAAGAATTTAGATGAGGCCACTTCCCCGATAATCTTCTGATGTTACCATCCCTGGAGGTTCTGATTGAATACTTCATTTTTAGCTGACAGGTGTTAGCTGAATGCCATTGAAATTGCCCATTACTTGAGCATATGCCTCATCCCTCCTCATCCATATTTTCAGGCTGTGTTCTTTTTAGCTTCAAGGCAAGCCATTTCCGAGGAGTTCTTTTGACTTTAATTTTCCTCTTGGTACCAGTTTACATAAAGATTCTTTTTATGATTGACTTGATAGCCAGAAAGTATCTTAAAGAATTGATTCCCAGTGTTTTTGAATTAGTAGCCATTGTTGCTAATTGAATTTTTGGTATACCTTTTCTGCTATTAAGCCATGAAGTGTTGCAGTGGTTTTATCTTTAATGTTAAAATGAGTTTTAAAGTTGTTTTAAAATTTGAAAACAGAATCATTGTATTGAAGAGAATATTTCCTGATATTGATTGGTGCAAAAATAAAACAGAGAAGTCAGTGGTGGCATGATACCTAATTCATTTTCTGAAGTTACAGAGAAGTCGTGTCTGTGTTAACTTGATGTAATTTGTTGATTTGAAGTTAGAACTTTGCTCATGCTGGAACAATTCCTGGGGCACATAGTAGGTGTTTAATGAGTGACTGACTGAATACAAGGGGCAATTCTGTCTCAACTTCTAGAATAACATCATTCTAATTCTCACAGAGAACACTTTGAAAAATAACTTTCCCCTTAACAAAAAATAATACTCATAGTCGTTACCAACAATTTGAAAATTACAAGAATGTATTAGAAAATTTAAATTACTATTCACCATCTGGTGATGACAAATGTTATTATTTTCTAGCAGCTTTACTACAATAAAGTTAACATCCCATACAGCTCACCTAAAGGGTACAGTTCAGTGGTCTTTAGTGTATTTGCACAGTTGTGCAACCATCCAGGGCTTCCCAGGTGGCACTAGTGGTAAAGAAACCACTTGCCAATGCAGGAGACTTAAGATGCAGGTTCGATCGCTGGGTCGGGGAGAAACCCTGGAGGAGGGCATGGCACCCCACTCCAGTATTCTTGCCTGGAGAATCCCATGGACAGAGGAGCCTGGCGGGCTGCAGGGCACGGGGTCGCAGAGAGTCGGACGCAGCTGAGCACGCACAACCATCACCACCATCAGTTTTAGAACATCTTCATCACTCCGCAGAGAAACCCCATGCCCACTAATACTTCTTATTTCCCCCTAATTCCCAAACCCTGCACAACTATTAATCCACTTTATTTCTTTATAGATTTTTCTGTTCTGGACATTTTATATAAGTAGAATCATATATTCTTTTGTCACTGGTTTCTTTCATTTGGCACACGCTTTCAAGATTCATCCATCATGTGGTGTGTATCAGTACTTCATCTCTTTTGATTATCAAATAGTATTCCATTTGGTGGATATGTCACATTGTATTTATCCACTCATCAGTTGAGGGATATTTGGCTTTTTTATTCCCTTCACTTTTTGGCTAGTGTAAATTATGCTTCTAGGGACCATTTAAGTATAATTCTTTGTGTGGATGTGTGTCTTCCTTTTTCTCGGATGTGCCCAGGAGTGGAATTGCTGGGTCATACAGTAACTTTCCGCATTTAAAATCTTGAGGAATTGCCAAACTGTTTTCTAAATAACTGTACCATTTTACGTTCCCACTAGCAGTGTATGAGAGTTCCAATTTCTGCGCATTCTCACCAAAACTTGTTATTACAGTTATCTCAATGTGAGTCAAGTGGTATTTGATTGTGCCTTTGATTTACATTTCCCTCCTGGGTAATACATTTTTTGGATATTTCTTTAAACAAAATACTTTTTGTGCAGTTTTGTAATCTGGCTTTTACCTTTAAGCATATTTTTAGCATTAGCAAACATATTTACAAAAGATTTTCCCTCATTTCTGCTTTCCTCTTCACTCCTTCCCAAACCATAATTCTTGTGAAAACTTGCCTAAATTATAATGCATTAAAAAGTCTATAGGAGTATATGCCAAATTATTGTTGGTGGTTATCAAAGGACAAAAAGAGGGTTAGAAGAACTGTATTTCTACCTTTAATGTTTCTGTAATGTTTGAATTTAATGAACATGTATCCTCTTGTAATCACAAAACTTAAAAATTAATTACTTCTTTAGAGGACTGAGTATATTCAGAATGAAAAATATTCCTAAATTTGAAAGGCATTAAGTTGTATTAGTTATTCAGATATAATCATTTTACCAAGTAAAATACCAATAGGTTGCTTTGTTAAATAGTTTACTTTTCTGTGGTTATAGACTATAAATACATATGCTATGTAGAATTTAAAATATATATATGTGTTAAAAAAAAAATAAAATATATCTATGTGTTTAATATTATAATCAGGAAAGCATACACTGGTTTGGGCTATTGACTATTTTACAGGAAAGTATATAATGTAGAAATCATTTCTCTAAAGATATTTACTAATAATAGTATATTTATATGTTTAGTTCTTTAGTGTAAATATTGATCCAATAAATTAGTCATTTACTAGGGCATAGAAGAACCTTTTTGCCTGTAGAATTTTATGGACAGAGGAGCCTAGTAGGTGGAAGAATTTTTTAATAGGTGTTTTCATTATAATAAGATTTGGAATATCTAGTCATTAGAGTCTGTTTATATAGTCCCAGATTGGGCAGGGTTCTGGCAGGACTATTTTTAATTGTTTATGCAGAGAAAAATGGCTGCTTGAGCATTCCACCTTCTGTTGAATAATAACCAAGTACATGAAATTGGCACTAAATGTTAAAAGATTCTGGGGGAGTGATTCCTGGGTAGTGGGATAGACACTTTAGTAGTGTTCAGAAAATTTCCAGTTTATTCACACCTCAGCATTATAGGGAAAGCCAACTGACATCATCAAGAAAGGAAGGAGAATAATAGTATACTGTGCATTTGCAGGCAGTTTTATACGTACTGTTTCATTTAATCCTCACAACAGCCTTTCAGGGTAACTACCTTGATAATGGTATTATCTCCATTTTGCAGGTGAGGAATGTGAGGCTCAGAGAGATTAAGTAACTTGCCCAAAGTAACCCAGCCAGTATGTAACAGAGCTGGGATTTGAATCCAAGTCTGTCAGACTCCAAAGCCCATGCTCTTTCCAGTACTTCACACTGTAGCAGGTAAGTATGATACTTGGCCCTGTGCCTGCCTTACCTAGGGCACCCCAAACTCGAGCCTGTTTCCATTGCCTCACTGTCCAACTCTTAGATTCATGTTAGAAGAAAGTGTGATGGGCCAAGATCAGTCCTTGTGCATCCTGATTGCAGTGGACTTATCAGTTCTTTCTGGATATTGCAGTTATTACTCTTCATGAAGAGGAATGCACATCTTTGCTTTCAAAATATGATTTCCTCTTTTGTATTATGGCAGCAAAATTTGTTCCAGGAGTTTGCCAGCAAGGATCTTCAACTCAGTTGTCTAAAGCATCATTCATATTCTCAGACCTAAGGCTGTATACCCAAGGGACTATAGGACATCATTATGCTTTTTATTGGGTAGGGAATGGCTGTTCCATTCTTTCACCTGCTTAAATGGTAAAATTGTTGTGAGGGTGGAATGAAATAATAGATGTTAAACCGTATGAACTACTGTACTGTAATCCCTTACCTTGCCAACAGCCCCATCTAAGTAGAGATTCTTCTTTTGTGAAACTAGTACATGTATACACATTTTTAATTCTCTAAATCTTTTTAGTTAGCCCAGAGAATTTTGAGTGCATGTTTGAATTGTAAATTATTCCAATTTGAGATACAGGGTTAGCCGTTAACAGTAAAAGATACATGTATTCTAGTGTGCATATTGGAACAAAGTGAAGTTAGTTTTTAAGAGTCTTGTTGGAACTTCTGAAAAGTTATAATAAGGCAAATGAAAACTAATTGTATAATATCAATTATCTAGATTATTGATTTTCTTGATTGTCATGTTATTTTCATCGGTTAATTTATGTGGTCTTTGAGAGAGATTTTTAAGGCCATTTGTGACTTTGGCTCCCTAGTTTTGTTTTTTAACTAAGATCTTAAATACATCATTCATCCATAAAGTTCATTTTTAGTAAAGACTTAAGACTGAGGGTAAATAAAGCAGTGGTAAATAAAGCAATGAGCTCACAGGAGAGAGCAAAAGAGGGAAACATCTCTGCCCTCATGCACCTTACATTTTAGTTGAGGGAGATAGACTGCAATAATGTGTAGTTGATCCTTGATGACCATGGTATGAGTTGTGTGCGTCGACTTTTGTGTGGATTTTTTTCAATAAATATAGTATTGTTTGGCCAAAAAGTTTGTTTGGGTTTTTCTGCTATGTCTTACGGAAAACAAACAAACAAACTTTTTGGGCAACCCAGTACCTGTATTTTCATTTTATAGACCTTTAAATTAACTAAGTGTGTGGAAAAGTTTGTTCAGTTAGAGACCACAGTATGTGGAATCATAAGAACTAGGATCTGAGACAGTTACCTCCAAGCTGTTTCAACTTCCTGCCTCTCTTTGGGTAAGTCATTTGTCAGTTTCTTTGATTTTGAGGCAGAGATGGCAGTGCCTGGATTTTCTACTAGGATGGGGAATAGGCCAGTGCCACTAACCTCCCTTTGCTAAAGGGTCAGCTGTCAGTAGATCATGTTGGTAACAAAACAATGAGAGAAAATAAAGAGAAGGGAGTTTGCAATTTTAAACAAGTGGTAGGGGAGAGCCTCATTGAGAAATTGCATCTGGACAACAACATGAGGGAGATGAGGGAGGGAGCTGTATTGTTAACCAGAGAATGAGCATGCCAGCTAGTGCTAAGGCCCTGAGGTGGAAACACAGCATCGACAGCAGGGAACAAAATTGTGTGTGTGTGTGTGTGTGTGTGTGTGTGTGTAAGTGCCTTACAGTCCATTCTGAGAACCTCTGCGTGAAATGTCATTGAGGTTTTGAACAGAATTTTATTTTATTTTTTTTTCCATTTATTTTTATTAGTTGGAGGCTAATTACTTTACTACATTGCAGTGGTTTTCGTCATACATTGAAATGAATTAGCCATGGATTTACATGTATTCCCCATCCCGGTCCCCCCTCCCACCTCCCTCTCCACCCGATCCTTTTGGTTTTCCCAGTGCACCAGGCCCGAGCACTTGTCTCATGCATCCAACCTGGGCTGGTGATCTGTTTCACCCTAGATAATATACATGTTTTGATGCTGTTCTCTTGAAACATCCCACCCTCGCCTTCTCCCACAGAGTCCACAAGTCTTGAACAGAATTTTAATACCACAGTTTTCAGAAACACATCTTTGGATATTGTGGAGGAAACACTTTATAAATAAAAGGTATTATAAGAGATTTTTCCCCTACTGAAGTGTAGCTTTTTGTAATCAGGCAAATATATTTAAAAAATATGCTACCAATAAGTAATTTACATAAGGAAAACTGTGTTGGGAAACTTCACAGAAATTTTTTTTTCCATTTAAAAGAGCCAGTCAACATGGGAAGATAAGAGTTAACCAGTGTAGCTGTTTAAAATGGAGGATGAAAAAATAAGTAAAATGAAGGATGATCTGTTTATGATATGATCTCTAAAAAAGCTAATTGTGGTGTCATAATTAGGATTATATTACCCCTGGTAGTGCTGTGGTAAAGGATATAAGCTGAAACCCCTGAATCCTATCTCTTACCTGAAGAATACTAACTTAAACAATAATAATTTAGTATAATGATTTGGGATAAGAAGTTAAAAGTTCTGGATACTTTCTACAAAGTGGCTGCTTTTCTTGCTTAAGTAACCATGTAATTGTTTTAAAAAAGTAAGTATTTTTGGTATAACATGGTATTTTTTCAGTTCCATCAGGTATTGGTAATAAGTTTTTAGTTTCTAAATTATCAGATTTTACCTGAACAGAAGTGTGATGTTTAATGTAGAGCTCAGCTTGGAATTTCTCTTTGCCAGTGACAGGTCCTTGAGTGCCTTTTCCCTGCCTGCTTCCTTTGACTCCCCTCATCTTTCCACTTTCTCTATGTTGAACGAGTCAGCTGTTTAGTCTTTAGATAGGATCTAGTCTAGATAATCTTTGGTTTACTAAATTAGACCAGTTAGCTTGGAATAGTTACCAAAACAGCTGTTTTCAACAATGAACTTTCCTGCCAGTATTGCTTATGTTGGACAGTTGATGCCTGGTTTTCAAAGCCCTTTACACCCTGTCTTTCCTTCTAACTGTGTAGGGACTTCCCTGGTGGCTCAGACGGGAAAGCGCCTGCCTACAATGTGGGACACCCGGGTTCAGTCCCTGGGTTGGGAAGATCTCCTGGAGAAGGAAATGGCAATCCACTCCAGCACTGGAAAAATCCAGTGCTGGAAAATCCCATGGATGGAGGAGCCTGGTGGATTATAGTCCATGGGGTCGCAAAGAGTCGGATACGACTGAGCGACTTCACTTTCACTTTATATAGCCTTCTGTCCTGACTGGAATGTTTTTTTACTGTCTTCCAAATAGTGCTCAGTAATCTTTGAGTACAGTGCATACATAAGGTATGAGCGTGTCCCAGGCTTTTCCACGTCTCCATTTCTGCTGTGCCATTTCACCTTCTTCAAGCTCCCCTTTGTCCTCTTTCCACCTGTCTGACTTCTTCCCTGTGTCAGGATCAAATTCATGACAGCCTTCTCAGTAAAGCCTGTTCTGTCCACTTGAGCTTATTTTTATATATATATATAATTTTTACAATTATTGGCAGTTGAGCATAAGCTTTGTTTTTTTTTTTTTTTGACCATAAGCTTTTATTGCTAGCTTTGAACTATTACTTAACTGGTATTAGTCAAGGTTCTCCACAGAACAGAACTGACAGGATGTGTGTATACATACATATGCATGTGCATGCGCATACACATACACGAAACTCTTTTTATATACTATATGTAATTGGCTCATACGATCGTGGAGGCTGATGAGTCCTGACATCCCCAGGCTGAGTTGGCGAGCTGGAGACCCAGGAAAGCTAAGCAGACGGCATATTTCCAGTCTGCAATCTGGCAGGCTTGAGACCCAGAAAAAGCTGATGTTTCAATTTGATTCTGAAGGCCGAAAGAAGCCTAGGCAGTCAGGCAGAGGAATTTTTAGATTTACTTTATTTTGCTGCTCATTCATGTGCCTTGTCTTGCCAGCTAGTAAACAACTTGAGGGCAGGAACTGCAAGTCATATTTACTTGCTTACCATCCATGACTTTGTGCATCCTGATTTACGTGTAATAGGTACATCTCTGTATTTTATGAAATCATAACATTTTAAGGGCTAGAAGGGGCCTTGAAGGTTATCTTGTTTTAGAGTTGGAGAATCAAGAACAACTTATTAATATATACCTCTTTCCTTAATTGTTAGGAAAATGAACGAGACAATGTAATCTATGAAAGGTTAAGTGATTGACTAATTTTAAAGATTTATTTTTGCTTAGAGCATGAATCAGAATGTATCCTTTAATTAGAAAATATTTCCTGGGTGGAGATTTCACCTTTTTCTTTTTCTTTCTCACCTTTTTTTTTTTTTCATTTAAGAATGTACATAGCACATTAGTTGTTCATATTGACAAGTATGTCCAAAATGAGAACAGATTTAATTTGAAATGTCATCATTTCTTCAAAGCTTATTGTCAGATATATCAAATTTATGGATTCATCTAGAATATTCCAGTTAGGTATTCAAATATAAGGCATTGTAACCAAGTGGTACCTTTAGCTTTGGGACCTGACAGTATTGAAGATGCAGGTTGAGGCTGTAGAATTTGAAGTTAACTGTATTTTAAACACTCAACTACTTTAATTTGAACTTACTCTTCTTTATAAGTTTTCATTTATGGGAACTGATACTGATTGTTTTCAGATGTTTTTATTTAGTTCTTTTCCTTCCTAGATTTTCTTGTAATCACATCTTAAAGCTTTCAAGATGGTACTAGCAGACCTTGGAAGAAAGATAACATCAGCATTGCGCTCATTGAGCAATGCCACCATTATCAATGAAGAGGTATGTAAAACTACATGTGATTGCACATCATCACTAGCATTGCAGATGGATGATTAATAATCTCTATATAGTTACTTCTAGATAAAATCCGTAAATGGGTATAGTAGTGTGTTTTATGAGAAATTGACTATGTTAATTTCAACTTTCTATAATGAATTACCAAAGAAAACCCCACCTTAACTTGTATGTAATAATGACATACGTTTTATATTTCAGAAATGGCTTCGGTCTGGAAATATGCTTTTGCTTTCTCTTGATATAAGCCTATAACTTTAGTGTCCTCCTTCTTCCTTCTTGATTAGACATGCATATGTCTGGTCTTTCTCCTTGACTTTTATTTGACATTCTTATATAAGGCTAATATTACCATTTGGCTACTTTGATTCATTTTCTCTGAAATCCTCTTTTAGTTTTTTGGAGGTTTTGTAAGCTGACTCCTGAATATGATATCTGAAATACTTTTCCTCCTGGTTTTAAGTACAAGGTATTTCTTGCCCCCATTCCCTGCCCCCCCACATCGTATATTAATAGTTTGTCAACTGAAAGAAGATGATTATAGTCCACAAGTATATTTTACATTTTGTGGTACCAGTGGTAAAGTACTGATTTTGGTTTTAGAAGACCTTGTTTAGTGTCCTGCTAAACAAGTCATAGAAATTTGAGCAAGTCAAATTCAGAATTTCTTAATGTTTAAAATGAGAAAACAGCATTTACCTTTCAGGATGGTTTTAAAGATCAAATGAAATAATAGATAGAAAGTATTTTCTAACTTGGAGGTTTAAAGAAAATTCTAATATAAAATTTGATATCAATACTTTAATAAGCTAGTGGAATTAAATAATTTGGGGACTGTCTTTGAGCTCAGCTAGTCCAGCCTCTCTCTTAACAGCAATAGGAAGTCAGTTTCACATATTTATTGGAAGAACCAGGATTAAAATCCTGTTTCTAATTCCATAATAATTAATATTAAGTAATCATAATTTAAACCACTGTTTAGTCTTTGGAATTCAGAATAAATAAAATGACAGCTTTTCAAATAGTTTTCCCTGTTGTATAACCCTTATGCTATTTGTGTTTATAGTAGAAAAAGAAAAGAAACCAAGGAGATTAGGTTGGTGGGAAGTAAAATAACAGCTGTTGCTTAAATTGGCAGCTTCTCTATTCTTGATACTGTGCTACTAGGGAATTAACAAGGAGAAATCCCTCTAATGAAAGATCAGTTCCATTTTTATCAAATCCCTTTAGTGAGGGATAGAGAAATCTGATAAGCTGCTATCTGACATATGACAGAAGTTGAAGATGAGAATTCATTCAAGAAGTGTTTGAGGGCCTACATTTTTGCAAACATTTTTGCTGCCACCAGGAACAAAATTGAACAAAATAGGCTAAAATCCCTACCCTCATGGAGTGTATTGCATTCTAATGTGTAAACAGCTATTTCCATGAGTGGCTAAGGCTCATCTTTTCTAAAGACTTTTTTATAGTTTGTGATCTTTTAACCACAGTGCCTTGCAGCTCAACAAATATATGATGATAGTGAGTTATTAATGGAGGATGGTTTTCTTTTCAACTTTGTTCCTCTGTTCTGAGTGGAGATAGTAAAGGCTAGTAGGTCAGACTGGGTCATTTTCTTTTGTCACATTTTCCTCCATGGTAGTCCAGTTGAGAAGATGTTGCTCCATATCAGCAACAGGAATTCAGTGGCATAGAAAACTTCAATGGCAACATGTATTGTATAGTAACTTTCTTTGACTTGTATATTGTCTTTACTATTATTACTTTAATAGAGGGATAAAATTGTGGTGGTTAATACCTGGTTGAATAAAAAGAAATGGAATGTCTTTTTTTTTTTTTTAAGTGGTGCTTTGAAAGTTGTGAGATCTTAGTTCTCCTATCTTGGATCCAGCCCATGCTTCCTGCAGTGGAAATGCAGAGTCCCAATCACTGGACCACCAGGGAATTCCCTGAAATGTCTTATTTTGACAAAATGACTAGATATTTAATAAAATCTCTCTCAAGGGCTAACTGAAAACCTTTTCGCTCTCTAATTGTATACTATGGTTTTTAATTAGTCATGGTTGTATGGTTGATGACTGGTCAGTCATTGTTTTTATATGGTTGAAATGAATTGTTTAAAAGTTTAATTTATTTGCAGGTGTTAAATGCTATGCTAAAAGAAGTATGCACAGCATTATTGGAAGCAGATGTTAATATTAAACTAGTGAAGCAACTAAGAGAAAATGTAAAGTAAGTTAATTAAATTAAAGGTAAAAAACAGGCAAAACTAAATTTAGTTTACTGGGAAGGAGCTAAGTAGAAAAGTCTGCTGTGTTATGAAACGTTTCTGCTGTATAGCACTGGGAAAGAATGGGACTCATATGTTGGAAGACTTCTTTTATAGTGTGTCTCCATAATAATGGTTCAAAGAATAAACTACATGTGGCTTTCATTTAATTATGGAGTTCTTTCCATTCTACTACTCCTTTATCTGAATGGATTCACTCATATACTGTATAGTATTTTAACAGAAAAGCCTGTTAGCAATTCAGAGTCCTTAAAGAAAAGTGGTGCCGTTTTAATCCTCTTCAGACTAAAGATGACATCAATCAACCTCCTTCACTATTGGAGAGTGGTATTCTTTTTTATCCCCTTTTGGTTTCTCTGTCCATATTCGATAAAGGAGTAGTGTGTGTGGCCTTAGTTATTGTGTTAATCGGGAAAAGCGCTGACTGGGGCGGAGCACATAGAACAATGGAGGGCACTTCAGTTAGCTGTTTCAGTCCTAGCCCTCCTCACGCTCAGGCCATCCCCCCTCCTTTTTGTATTGTCAGACTGGGTATTATATATAGGACATTTAAGCATTTAGAACTGCAAGAAGTAATCTTATTTTCTGCTTGGTGTAAACATGTATAAATTCTGTATGCTGCAAGAAAAATAAAATTAATACTTCACAGTAATGTGAGGACAAATTAATATTTGGACTTTCCAAAAATTAAGCCTTGAAAAACTTAACCAAAGTCATATATCTAATATTGCATGGTAAATTCTTTGTGGTATGAACTTATGACTCTGTAGTAATTGTATGCATGTTAATTAGAAAAATATTAATATAAATGATTGGATAGTCTTACATTCTTTGGGGCAAAAGGTAATTTTTTTAACTGTCTTAACTGACTTTTCCCCCTTTTTATCCTCAAAAACCATCATTATGAAGGTCTGCTATTGATCTTGAAGAGATGGCATCTGGTCTTAACAAAAGAAAAATGATTCAGCATGCTGTATTTAAAGAACTTGTGAAGGTAAAAGTATATCTAGCTTGTGCTATGATTTCCTATACACTCACTGCATTAGCACGGCAAACAGGAATGTATTTCAGAATACTTTTTATTGTTTTTATGGAATATTTGTATTAAAAATATTAATAGAATATTTTCTGAATACAAAACTGTAGACTTTTTTAAATTGTAGACTAAAATTCTGAGTACAAATGTGAAGGTTGGTATTTTACTCCTACAAAAAAATGCTAAAGCAAGTTGTAGAAAGTACAGCTTCACTATATATTAATTGATGGAAGAGCCTCTTTGAGTTTATTCTCTTTTAATATCAAGTTTTGCCTATTTTTGTGCAGAAAGTCACTCTTGGAAAGAGTTCTTTTCTACACTTTTATTGTGTCTAAAGATTGAATATCCTACACTTGCCTAGATTTTAAGCAATTTTGAATCAGTGAAATTTTATTTTACAAGTTATACTCTATTTCCCTGTCCCACCTTAGAACTGATATTGCTGCTGTTGTGAAAATTATGATGAGAGTCTTAGAGCATTAGAAAATATGTTTGAGTCTAATGGTAGGGGCAGAAAAGAAAGGAACTAAAAAAAGTTTTTTTTAAGGAGCAACAGGTACCTGCTCGTAGTCTCCAGGTATTTTTCCCCTATATTGTTTGAATAGTTTCATTTACTCCTTTAGTTCCAAAAGAACTGATTGGCACTTGGAGAAGATCTAATATCTCAGATGGTTGTGACATTTCACTTTAGTCCTATAGACTAATCAATTGGAAAAGAAATTCAGAACCTAACAGAGATCAGGAAATTTAGCCAGTCTGTCTTCTCAGTTTGCGGTTGAGAAAAGTGAGACAGTTAGTGGTAGACACAGGTCTGATCTCCAGACTCCTTGTGTGGACTCCTCCTCACAATATTTCCAGCTTTCTCTTCATACACCTGAAGTCAGCACAGAGTGAGTGAACATTTTTATTTTTAGGGGTTGGCATCTTTAGGGAATTCTGGAACATCAAGTGCTTTGTTAAGATGCCTTTACTGAGTGCCTACATTATTCCAGGCTGTATGCCATATACTGCTGATAACAGAGATGAAAAGTACTGGGCCTTATACTCAGAAGCTCATGGTCTGGGGCAGTGGTGTACAAAGCAAGGTCAAAACTGTTTCATAATAACACTAAGGCATCATTTGCCTTTTTTTGCCCTCTTACCGTGTTGATATTTACTCTGCAAATATCAGTGCAAAAGCAATGGCAGGCAAAACCATTGGGTAAAACTCCCTAGCTTGAACAAGGCAGTGATAAACTAAACTATACTAGTAGTCATTGTACCCTTTACTCCCAGACACTTGCAGTGAAAAAAAATGTTTTTTTTCCCAAACGTGTCCTTGATGGAAATTATTAGTGGTATTAAATCTTGACCCTTAAATATATATGTGTTTATAGGATTTTGTGTGATGAACTGGAAAGTACGCAGAAAGCCGTATTGCTGTGTAGCAAAATTTGATGGTTGTCTTGAGGAAAGCAACAGACAGTTAATCTGTGCTTATTTGGCCTTGAACCTTTGGCAGACATTTTCTCTGAAGTAAATAAAGTTGGCCTGTCACTTTAAGCAAACAACAGTATTGTAGCCAATGATAAAATTCTAGCTTTCAAGTGAAAACCAGAAGCTTGAATCCCCCCAATGAGTTTGACAGTGTCCTAATTCTTAAGTCGTCTGGTGAGATCAGTATGGATATTAATAAATAAAATTTTCAATGTTGTGTAGTGATATGTGCCAACAATGGGAGATCTGCCTAACTCAATAAACCAATATTTTCTAAATGACTAGTGTATAATGTTACAGAAGCATGCACCAGTATAAGATCGATTCAGAGTCCAAGATAGGATAACAGATTTTAATGTGATAGAATATGAAAATTCAGTACTGCAGTTCTAGGATGCAGGAGGAAGAGAAGATAAATTTATAATAAAATCATTATTCAATAAAACATAAGTTCCAAATAGTAGGTTCATAGAGAACTGAGTGATTCTGCCATGGGATATAGGGAATGGAGGTGAATATAGGACAGCATTAGTATTCTGAAAGGGTCTAAGAGGAACGGCAGTAGATTTATGTCTAAGATTGTTGTTTATTTCAGAAGTTTGCTATGGGTAGCTCTATGCCTGAGAAGATAACAAAATGTATTTTCTTTTCCTCCCTTTTCTACCACATGGCTTTCCTTGAAATCAGGTATAATATGGATTATGTAACTTTTATGGTATCATCTAGCATGGGCTCAGCAAATTTCTCTTAAGAACAAATAGTTGGAGCTTTGTGGGTCATATGGTCTTTGTTGCAACGACTCAGGTCTGGTGTTACAGCGCAAAAGCAGTAAATGAGTGGGCATGTGTGTGTTAAGACTTTATTTACACATAGTTATAAATATGGTCTATGTCCTCTGGTCTAGGATATTAACTACTATTATGGTTTGATTATATAGAGATAGAGGTTTCAAGTTCCAAATAACTGACTTGGAAATGTATTATTTTTTTAAATGAACGTTAAAAATGCCTCCTGCTTGTTAGTTTGGGGACTGTCCATATATGTACCTTAATTTTCCCCTGATTGCCATTATAAAATTGGTGATTATTTTTTACTTTAAATATTGTAACTTTATAGAGCAGTACATCCAATGGCGTTGGACAGTTTAACATTTGACTCACTTGAAAAACCTTTCACATGTAGTTTGTAATTTTGCTCATATGTTAACACTTGTGAAATTGAATAGGAAGGTAGGTGCCACTGCAGTGTTATAGCCACTAGCCACATGTGGTTATTGAGACTTGTAATGTGGCTAGTCCATACTGAGATCTGATACTGAGTGGATGGTTAAGAGATCCATGCCAAGTTTTAAGACCTAGCATGGCACCTTTATTTAGGGGAAAAAAAAGACCTAGCATGGGAAAAGGAAATATAAAATAGCTCATTAATTTTTAAATGTAGATTACATGTTAAAACTATAATATTTTAGATATATTGAGTTAAAGTATTAACATTAATATCACTTGTTTTTACTTTTTGAACTGTCACTATTAGAGATTTAAAAATTCTTATGTAGCCTTCGCATGTACTATATTTCTGCAGTGCTGTTGTAGATTGCTCCTTTGCCCAAACTTGGTCTCACATTCATACACTTTCAACTTTTTCTAAAAAATGTTTTGAGATCCTTACCTCTGAATTGGTTTGGGAGTATAGGCTTGCTTATAATTTCACAATGCCCTATTTTAAATTCTTAAATTTCACTATGTGTATATACTACAGAGGGAAATAGAGTTGCGTTAGAATAGGAGGCTTATGGTTGCCTCTTAACATTGAAATGTCTGTAAATCATTTTTACAATTTGAAAGTTGTGGGGAGAGAGGTTTTGAATGTAACCATGTGCTAACCTGATTTTATCTTTGTTTTTGGTATGTAGCTTGTAGACCCTGGAGTTAAAGCATGGACACCCACTAAAGGAAAACAGAACGTGATCATGTTTGTTGGATTGCAAGGGAGTGGTAAAACAACTACATGTTCAAAGGTAAATTATACTTAATTAAAAAAAAAAACAAAGTCATGGAGAAGATATGTTTGAGGAAATCAAGTGCTTTTACCAAGAAGACTGTTCCTATTCTTTAAGGAGATGAGGATATGATTTTTGGAGAAGTAAAGGTGGGAAGTTTACCTTATATCCTGTGGCTCAGGATTCCCTTTTCACAATGTCTCACCCAGTATAATATGTATGGATCTTCATTTTACATATCATTTTGCTAATTTTAAATTCATTATACCACCCTTTCCTTCATAATTGGGTACCTCAACTTTGTTACCAGATTTTGCTTCAGAAACCTCAACTATGTATAGTTCAGAAAGAAAAAAAAAAAACAGGATTATTTCTTAGAGGGTTATGTTATTGTTTATTTTTAATTAACATTAATAACATTTTTTACCGTAGTCATTTGTTGCTCGATCATTTCATATCCTTTGAATGTGACTGTTTGGCACTTAGAGTTTAAACTCTTCAGGAAATCTTCGGTATTCAGAATGTAATAATAATACTTTTTAGGAGAATATGAACTGTTTTATTTTACTCCTTAAGTAAATAATAAGTGTAAACAGAAACAATTACATGTGTTGTATTTATTGATTTTTAAAATCTTCCTTTCCCAGTTAGCATATTATTATCAGAGGAAAGGTTGGAAGACCTGTTTGATATGTGCAGACACATTCAGAGCAGGTATTGTGCTGAAATTTGAAAATTATTTCCTGAAATTTTTATTTTCAAGTTTAAGGACTCATTAACTTTTTATTTCATAGGGGCTTTTGACCAACTAAAACAGAATGCAACCAAAGCAAGAATTCCATTTTATGGAAGGTGGGTTCCGGTTTTTATTCTTATGTTCATGTCTTACCTTATCTATCTGACTTTTTACTTTATGCTATCTGGTCACATTTTAATATGTACCTATAAGCTTGAATCATTTTTGGAATAAAGTAGGGGTATAATTAATACATTGTTACCTTTTATTATTATAACATGATTTTTCTGATCCAAACTGATCAATCAGAGCAGGTATTGTTTAGCTTATAATTCTTCCTGTACTTACCCTGCCTTGCATGCTTTCCAGCCTCCTGCTTCTATTCCAGTTGTTTCTTTTAAGACCTTTCTGAAGCATTTCTAGATTCAACATACCCTGGTGAATTCTACATTGTCTGTTTCTTTAGTACACCATTTTTTCTTCGTTTATTTTTATTAGTTGGAGGCTAATTACTTTACAATATTGTAGTGGTTTTGCCATACATTGACATGAATCAGCCATGGATTTACATGTATTCCCCATCCCGATCCCCCCTCCCGCCTCCCTCCCCATCCCATCCCTCTGGGTCTTCCCAGTGCACCAGCCCCGAGCACTTGTCTCATGCATCCAACCTGGGCTGGCGATCTGTTTCATACTTGATAATATACATGTTTCAGTGCTATTCTCTCAGATCATCCTACTCTCGCCTTCTCCCAGAGAGTCCAAAAGTCTCTTCTGTACATCCGTGTCTCTTTTTCTGTCCTGCATATAGGGTTATCATTACCATCTTTTAAAATTCCATATATATGCGTTAGTATGCTGTATTGGTGTTTATCTTTCTGGCTTATTTCACTCTGTATAATGGGCTCCAGTTTCATCCATCTCATTAGAACTGATTCAAATGTATTCTTTTTAATGGCTGAGTAATATTCCATTGTGTATGTGTACCATTGCTTTCTTATCCATTCATCTGCTGATGCGCATCTAGGTTGCTTCCATGTCCTGGCTATTATAAACAGTGCTGCGATGAACATAGGGGTACACGTGTCTCTTTCACATCTGGTTTCCTCGGTGTGTATGCCCAGGAGTGGGATTGCTGGGTCATGTGGCAGTTCTTTTCCAGTTTTTAAGGAATCTCCACACTGTTCTCCATAGTGGCTGTTTAGTACACCATTTTTTAAAAGTTTGTGTTCGATCATCCTAAAATGGTTTAGAATCTATGTTTATCTCAGAGTCTGATCATTGCTGACCTTCATTTGCTACATTGCTGTTCAGTTAGGTGATTTGTATATGTTAAAATGACTAATTAAAAGAATTGTGTCAAGATTGAGTTTAGAAAGATTTATTTGAGAGAATAACATTTTTCTTAATGCTACTCATATATTAATATAAGAAGATTGTTATTAATATAGAAAGCTTAAGCTAAGATTTGAAGTAATTAAATGAATGATATCATTTTATGAATCATTATTTGCTACTTTTTGGCCAAAGAAACTAGTGAACTTTGGCTATGGTATGCTCTTTATTTAAATTCTTTTATTAGTTTTTTTTTTTTTTTTTTGGTTGCAACATGCTGATTTCAGGATCTTAGTTCCCCAACCAGAGATTGAACCCAGGCCCGTGGCAGCAAAAGCACAGAGTCCTAACCACTGAACCACCAGGGAATTCCCTCTATTTTTTTATGATAATTTCTAGCAAATAGATTTAAGAATAATGTTAGGAATTTAATTTTTAGGATAAGAACTTTTTCTAACATAGATTTAAAAATCAAAGGATAATAAACGGTTACATATTTAGAGTTCATATTTGCACAGTGATAGGTGTGAGCTGATAGGTGGCTCAGATGATAGAGAATCTTCCTGCAGTGCAGGAGACCTGGGTTCGATTCTTGGGTCGGAAAGATGCCCTGGAAAAGGAAATAGCAACCCACTCCAGTATTCTTACCTGGAGAATACCATAGACAGAGGAGCTTGGTTGGCTACAATCTGTGGGTTGCAAAGAGTCAGACATGACTGAGCAAGTAATGCTTAGGCTACTTACTTGAACTATTAGCCAAAGCCAGAGCCTTAATTTTTAACCAGTTCCTCAGTACTGTTTATTAAATAATCTCTCCTTTGCTTATGTATATGGAGTAAAATATTAGAAATCATTGTTTCTTCTGGGAGAGATGAAGTGGATCGGACGGGGGAAGGAAGGATTTGAAATGATCTCTAATGTTAAATCTACATGTTAGCATTTATTGGGGGGACAGTAGATATGTTTTTTTTGGTACCATTTGTTCTGTCTTTTTTAAAAAGAAACACTATTTTAATAAAAAAATTTTAAAGAAGTGAAAGTACTAACACTTTCACTTCCCAAATAGCGGCTTTTAGCAAGTCCATCTGTGCTTTTTACAAATGCGCTATATAAACAAATATACAAGAGATAGATAATTTTAAGTTGAAATAGAATCTTTTCATGCTTTGAACCTTGATTGCTTTAGTAGTAGTTATATGGGTTGTATAAATTTGCCAAAGCTCATTAAAATGAATACTTAAAATAGTGCATTTTATGTAAATATACTACTATAGACTTGATTAAAAATGGGATCTTATGACAAGATAAGGGAGTGATTATTCTTGGGAGGGAGTAAAATACTAATTATTTTGTTTTCCTTGGTCTGGGTGTTTTGCTTTATGAAAATTCACTGAGTTTAAACTTTGTGAAACTTTTCCATATATAGGTTATATTTCATTAAAATATTATAATAATGGGATCTTAATAATTCTGGACAATATGCTGTTAAAGAGAATTCTTTTTATGACATCACTGTATTCCATTGTATGCATGTATGTAAGTAATCTCTTTATGAACATCTTTGACCCTATTTCTTTATATATTTATGTTTTATTTTAATTGTATCTTTATCATATTTTAAAATAGCTGGTAATGCTAATTTCTGTCTTCTTTTTCAGCATTTCTTGCCTCTTTCACTTGCTTATTTTCCTGAGTAAATTTTAGGTTTTTTTTATTTGGAGGAAAATTGCTTTATAATGTTGTGTTGGTTTCTTTAGTCAAGTTCCAGAAAGAAAAATCTCCCTAAGATTATGATTAAAACTATATTGAAGCCAATTAATTTAGGGGAGAACTGACATCATATTTGTACAGTTCCATGTAGAAACTTGCTAGGTCTTTTTTGTTAAAAATTTTGTCCTTAAATATATTAATTTTCTTCTTTTAAGTTTCACATATATTTTTATTAAGTGTATTTCTGCTTGATTTGTGTTGTTAATTTAGGGGAAAACTTTTAACATTATATATCCTTTCACTTGACAACATTGATCTGTATTAAAAGTTGCCACTAATCAAAAGAATGTAAACTAAAATAAAATCTTATTTTTTGATTTTCAAGTTGAATAGAGTTTTGAGGATTATGAAAATATAATAGCAATGAAATTAAAGTTTTGTGAAGACTTTTAAAAACCAAAAGCCTCAATGATCAAACCATTTGATCCAAATTCAGCTTGTAGGAGTGTATCATAGTTTAGAAGAAACAACATTATATAGTATTTATATTGGCTATATTTTTAACACCAGGAAGTTAGAAAACCTTAAATGGCCAACAGTAGGGCATTTATTTAATAAATGATAGCATAGCCATCTGGTGGAATGCTATATAACTTAAAAGTCACGTGTTACAAGAATATTTAATGGTTTTATAAAGTGCTAAAGAAGGATAACTATCATCAAAAAGAACACAAATAACAAATGTTGACGAGGATATGGAGAAAAGGGAATCCTTGTACCCTCTGGGAATGTGACTTGGCACCACAGCTGTGGAAAACAGTATGGCAGTTTCTCAAAAAACTGAAAATAGAACTACCATATCACCCAACAGTTCCACTCCTGGGTATATATTTGGGAGGGAAAAAAAACACTAATTTGAAAAGCTACATTCACTCCAGTCTTCATAGTAGCATTATTTATAATTGCCAAGATATGGAAGCAACTTAAGTGGCCATTAACAGATAAATGGATGAAGAAGATTGAGACACACACACACACACTAACAGATAAACGGATGAAGAAGATTGAGATACACACACACACACACACACACACACACACACACACACCCCCTACATACAATGCAGTACTACTCAGATATAAAAAGGAATGAAAGTTTGCCATTTGCAACAATTTCAGCTGAAAAAAAATTGTGACTCATTGTATTGTATAGCTATAATGTATAGTGTACATCAACTATACTTCATTTAAAAATGCTTTCAAAAGACTAAGTGGAAAACATTATGAAACACTATATAATACAAGTTCAGTTATTAAAATGTAAAAAAAATTGAGGGATACACAACTCATTTGGAAAAGATATAAAGCAGAATCATATGGGCTTTCATAATTGGGAGGCTGGATACTGCTTCTGCTGCTCTTTAAATGGCTTGTCATATTTAATACTTACTGGATTTTGTACTTAATTGAAATTGTGATCAATATGACTTTTTCAGAATAGATTAAAGATATACTTGCAATTTCCAAATTACTAGTATTTGAATGTTTTGCTGTTGTGGTTGTTAAATCATTTTTTCCATGTTAAATAGCTATACAGAAATGGATCCTGTTATCATTGCCTCTGAAGGAGTGGAGAAATTCAAAAATGAAAACTTTGAAATTATTATTGTTGATACAAGTGGCCGTCATAAACAAGAAGACTCTTTGTTTGAAGAAATGCTTCAAGTTGCTAATGCTATAGTAAGTAGCTTTAATGTAACAACATTATAAGGACTTTAGTTAAAACCTAACTGAGTTTGTGAACCATATAAATTATTTTTTGCTTGTAAGTTTCCAAGTAATTTATTTCTATTTTGGGCTCCCTTATCTATATGATAAGGACTTAATCTTCTCAATCTTCTCTACATTGATATGAAATTTTCATGAGTATTGGAAATTCTACTGCTTAATCATCTTATTAGTATGTATAAGAAAAACTAACAAATTGAGAATAACCTTTAGTAACTATTGAATTTCCTTTCTGTAAATTGTTTAAATTAGAAACATTTGCTTTAGGTGAATTTTGAAAGATTTTCAAAATGAAGCATTTAAAAATATTAATCATCATTTAGTGTCACTTTAAAATAGTGATGGAAATAACTTGGGGATAAGAAATGGTTTATAGGTAATCTGTAGCACATACTATGAGGCCATATTTGCCACTGACGTGCTGGCAGTTAATGGTTAGTGCTAATAAGTTGGTTTTTAGCCGTGCCATTATTTTGATTCAGTGGAGCAGATCTAAGGGAAATAGCCTCACCTCTGTTTTATCCATTATGGTTTCAGCCCATGCTCTTCTGCTTTTACTTCTTCTCATTTACAGTTGTTCCATTTGCCTAGAGTGTGATTGCTCGAGATTATTGCTTAACTTTTTCCTCTTTATTCAGATCTCAACTCAAATTTTACCTCCAGACAGGCCTTCTCTGACCACCCTGCAGAAAGAAGTCTTCCACACCTCATAACTGATTTTCTCTATCCCATTTTAATTGCACATTCTAAATGTTTCAGTTCAGCTTAGTTCAGTCGCTCAGTCATGTCCAACTCTTCGCGACCCCATGAACTGCAGCACGCCAGGCCTCCCTGTCTATCACCAGAGTTTACTCAAATTCATGTCCACTGAGTCAGTGATGGCATCCAACCATCTTATCCTCTGTCGTCCCCTTCTCCTCCTGCCTTCAGTCTTTCCCAACATCAGGGTCTTTTCTAACGAGTCATCTCTTTGCATCAGGTGGCCAAAGTATTGGAGTTTCAGCTTCAGCATCAGTCCTTCCAATGAATATTCAGGACTGATTTCCTTTAGGATGGACTAGTTGGATCTTCTTGCAGTCCAGGGACTCTCCAGAATCTTCTCCAACATCACTGTTCAAAAACATCAATTCTTTGGCTCTCAGCTTTCTTTATAGTTCACCTCTCACATCCATACATGACTACTGGAAAAACCATAGCCTTGACTAGACGAAATGTTTATTTGCCTATTTTTTATCTGTTTCCAATGACTTCAGTGTAGGCCTCATAAAGACAAGGATTTTCTTACTCATCTCCATTTGAGGACCTAAATGGTGCCTAATACATACTGCTTCTACAGTAAATATTTATTGATTGAATAATTGTAATAAATATTTTTTATAGCTTCTATTGATGAAATTTACTTAAGGTCAGTTAAAATACATATCTTTTCTATTTAAATTTTCTAGCAACCAGATAACATTGTTTATGTGATGGATGCCTCCATTGGACAGGCTTGTGAAGCCCAGGCTAAGGCTTTTAAAGATAAAGTAGATGTAGCCTCAGTAATAGTGACAAAACTTGATGGCCATGCAAAAGGAGGTGGCGCTCTCAGTGCGTAAGTACCATTAATACTGTTGTCCCGTGTCCTGGACTTACATACTGTGTGTGTGTGTGTTTGTGACTTTATTAATCATTAAAAATCTGTTCCAGTAGTGGACCTAATATAGTTTATGAAGGAAGTATAAATAGAAACAGAATTTTGGAGTCCCTCTGATATATCTATAGTTCTATTTTAGCTAATGAAAAGCTTGAGGTATGTACCTTTGTCTAATAAGCTTTGAAATCTAGAAATTTGTTTTCCTTTTTGAGGTTATTTTGTGTTTTCTTTTTCTTTGCAGAGTTGCTGCCACAAAAAGTCCAATTATTTTCATTGGTACAGGGGAACATATAGATGACTTTGAACCTTTCAAAACACAACCTTTCATCAGCAAACTTCTTGGTGTGTACAATGGTGGGGATATAGACAAATATCCAAGAAATAGTGTGGCTTTTTAGGACAGATTAAAATTTTAATTCTGCCCTCTCACTGACTAGTTCAGGAAAATAATTTCCTTCTATGATTTATCTTCTTCACCTACAAAATAGGGATGATGGTAACCTGCTTCCCATGTTTAGAGTGGTAAAAAAGAGCTACTGGATGGAAAGTTCCTTGGGAAAGTTTTAGAGCACAGTACAGAAGTATGTGGTTGTAGTAATAGCAGTGATAATGGCAGCAAAACTTTCGTGTTTGAGAGCATGGAATTTGGAATTAAACCCTGGACTGCAGTCACTGCTTTGTTACTTAACCTCTCTAGCTTCAATTTCTCACCTGTAAAGTGTTGTAGAAATACCTGAGCTGCCTATCTCACAGGTTTATTACTATATGTGCATGCATTTTGCATAATGTAGCAATATAACAAATATACTGTTAGTTGCTAATTTTACTTTTTTGGCTCTTTATAGGTATGGGTGACATTGAAGGACTGATAGATAAAGTCAACGAGCTGAAGTTGGATGACAATGAAGCACTTATAGAGAAATTGAAACATGGTATATGAGTAACAAAAAGCATTTGGTCTCAGATGGCTTCCCTTGTTTTCTTTTGATAGAGCTACTATAATTTTTTTGAAGTGATAAGTCCATTAAAGTCAGTTCTTCCAGTGTTTATTTTTTAGATGATTTATATGAAGATCATTTTAAATCTCAGTCATCTAAGCAGCTGTAGAATTGAGTGTTTTCTTTCTTATAATCAAATTGCCTTAAGATTACTATTGAAGTTTTCATTGGGTTCCTTGGAGTAAAACAGGTTAAAAGTAAGCTAAAATACTCTCTTCTGATTTGTTTGTTTACTTATAAGTTTTATATTTATATAATAAAACATAAAAAGAAATTTAAAAGAGATTAAATACACATTTTATTCACATTGAAGATAATTCCTATGAAAGTATGATTAAGAACTTAAGTTTTTTAACCCAACATAGAACTTTTAAAAATAACCTCAGTTTCCTTATGTGTAAAAAGTAGACAATACTAAGTATCTTCTCCATAGACTTGTGAAGATGAGCTGATATATATATATATATAAAATGTCTAGCACACCAGGAACATTTAACATATACTATTATTGATCATTTCTGTTTTTCTCAAAATGACATGACTCTTAATTTCCATGACCACACACTATCCTGCCTCTGCTCCTTCTCACTCATCTTGTCAGGTACCTATATCTTTCCATCTTAGATGTTGGTGTTTTCTAGTGATCATTTCTAGGTCATCATCTTTGCCTGGAGCTTCAGACTCGTATCTGTATGTTTACTTGCTTGGATGTTCCCTAGATACTGACTTCAATTTGTCCTTATCTTCCCATCTCAACCTCCCACCTGTGTTGCCATCTATGAAAGTTAACATTATTTGTCTTGTTTCCAAAGGGTGTTGTCATCCACTCATGTCTTCCTCATTCTGCCCAGTCCTTTTCCCATTAATTATTAGTCCTAGTGATTCTACCTCCTAATTATCTCCATTCCATCCCCTACTTCCCAGCAACTATTTAAATTAATCTCTTATCTAGATTGTTTATTCTAAGGCTTTTAACAGGTTTTTGCAATTTTGGGGATTCTTTTCCTTGGACCTGTTTTTTTATAGTCCAGCCAAAATGATCTTTCAGAAAGGCAAATTTGATCCTAGTACTAATGCCTTTCTTAAAATCTTTCAGTGTCTTCCCATTGCCCTTGGAGTGTTTTTGAATGACTCCACCATCTAATCCACATCTTCTGAGTCGTGTTTTGACACCGTTGTTCTTAGCATTCCATGTGCCAGTCATGCTGAATTTCTGTCATTTTCTGAAATGTACGCTATAGTCTCTTTTACCTTGCTGTCCCTCTGCCTGTCAGTTATCCTCTCTTCCTATTTCTGTCCTCCTTTACCCCCAGCCAAACTGACTCACTCATACTTCAAGTCTCTACTTAAATGTGCTTCAGGAACATTCTGCCTTATCCCTAGACTTAGAACCCCTGCTATGTGTTTCCACTGGACCCTGTAATTATTGTATTATTCATCACAGTTATTTTGATGTCTGTCTTCATTGCTTGAAGTTGAAGATTGGTTTCTAATATATTCCCAGACAGCCTGCTTTCTAACTCCTAGGTCTCTGTTTAGGTCTGTGCCCTTGCTTCAGAGGCCTCCTTACTTCCAAATGTAGTGACCTTTCTCTTTTCTCTGGGCTCCCAAAATTTGAACATTGTTATCCGCCTTTTATATTTTCAAACTCTACACTTGGGTTCCATGACAGTGGGCTTCCTATATCATCTTAGCTTCCATTGTCATTTCTGTATAATGGCCAAATATGTATTTCAGCCTTAACCTGCTCTACCACTGTTTAATTCTATATTTCTAGCTGCCTATTATAACATTTCTTTTGATGTATTTTACTGCTACTTCAAATTCAGAATGCCTAAAACCAAATACATTCTTTTTTATATTGTAGCACAAAAATAGAAAAGTCTTTAACGAGTTAATTTGCATAATAATGAAATGCTCAGATTCTAAGGATATCATTCCATTAATTTTGACAAATGCTCCTTGGGAAACAGAACATTTCCATTACTCTAGGAAGTTTGCTTATTCCCCTTCCCAGTAAAGCTTCATATAGGAATCCTAGAGTATATATATATATATATATTTTTTTTTTTCCCCCCACCTGGTTTCCCTGACTCAACATAATATTTTTGATATTTATCTAAGCAGTTTTACTTACCTGTATCCTGATCTTTTATAGTAAGTATTTCATCCAGAGTCAACCTATTTTCCAGTTTATTGACGGTTTAGCTGTTTAATAAACTCTAAATAATCTAAAGCAGTTTGCCATTTTTACATTTTCATCAGCAATATATGAGAGTTCTGCTTGTTCTGTATCCTCTAACTTTGGTGTTGTCAGATTTTTTAATTTCAGTTATCCTAATATGTATAGATTGTTACGTTTGTTTTCACATTTCCTGTGTATGTTTATGTCCATTTTCTCTGATAAAATGTGAGCTTCTCTAGGGTAGGATCTGTCTCCACAGCATTCATCCTGTAATCTTATGCAACTTCTCAGTGAATATTTATTGATTGGGTAGTTTATAAGTGTGCTTCAAGATGAGCCCATGATTAAGGAAAATATTAGTTTTATTGAATAGAAATGTTCACTCTCTAATATATTTGCATCATTTATATTGTATTTCAGGTCAGTTTACGTTGCGAGACATGTATGAGCAATTTCAAAATATCATGAAAATGGGCCCCTTCAGTCAGATCTTGGTTAGTTATCCTAAAAAGTTTTTTCTAACCTCTGTTGTTTTTGTTACAGTTTCTAAGAATGGATACACTTGATTTAATTATTTTAATATTTGGGTAAAAATAGTTACTTTTAAAATTTAATATTAAAGCCATTAGTTAAATGTGAACAATTAATCTCAAACTATTACTGATTTTTATGTTTAAATATATGTTTTAGGGGATGATCCCTGGTTTTGGAACAGATTTCATGAGCAAAGGAAATGAACAAGAGTCAATGGCAAGGCTAAAGAAATTAATGACAATAATGGATAGTATGAATGATCAAGGTAAGATGGCAGGTTTCTTGACTTGGAGGACCGTGTTCTCAATATTAGCAAGTTGAGAATTTCACTGTGTTCTTGTGGACAAGATGGGAAAAAATTTAGAATGAGCAATTATTATTTGGGAGATTTGTAACTGCTTGAAAGCTCTTGCTCAAAAGGTGTGATTATTGGGTTGGCTTCATCTTTGAGAGAAATGTCTAAGTACAGTGCTTCTCCAAATGAGTTCTGTGGTGAGAACACCAGTTCTTCAGAGTGTTGATAAATAACTTGAAAGGAGAGTCCTGTAGTCAGATAATCTGGGTTTTAAAAAAAAAACTGGTACATTTATTTATTGCATGTCTTCTCAGACCTCTAATATGCTCACAGGAATTGGAAATCTGTAAGAGAGGGACAGTTTAAGCAATATTTACCAACTTACTTTGCTCTCCGAGGTTTCAGTCTTCTCAAGTATACTACTCTCTCTCTGTAATCCTAGATTATCCCTCTCTCCTATACTTCTGGGTCCTCAGCCCATGAGTATTTCTAGACTCATGACTTCATTTTTTCCCAGTTTTTTAGCACCTTTTCTGATTCAATGCAGCAAGCATGCCAGGTCTTCTACTCTATCATCTGATCTCTGTTTACAAAGGAATACATGTGTTTAGCATTGAATTTTTTCAGTCTTTGGCTAACTTACTGATGAGGCTGTGACAGCCACAAGCCATTCTTCAAACTTTTTCAAGGACTTTTCTCCATCAGTAAAATCCTCTCCCGTGTCTCCAGTCTCTCCTTCCTACTGATTTTTTTCATCCATCAGCATATAAACATTAACTTCACAATTTCACATTTTATGGGCTTTACTTCTCACTCATACTTTTACTGTGTCTCTTTTCAGTCAAGTTTCTTTAAAAATAATGGTTTGTATCCTCAAACTACTGAAATCTGACTTCTGTACCCACCATTGCTCTGAAACAGATTATACAAAGATTTCCAACAACCTTCCACTGAAGGTTCCAGTGGAGACTTCAATCTTTTTCTTGACCTTTACAACATTGGATGTTCATTAATGTTTTATTCTTATTTTCTGTTACTTTTTTATTTCCACTTTTACCCTTACTTTTCTTGTTAACTGCAGTCTCTTTCACTCATCTCATCCTCAATGAGCCTAAAGGAATATATGCTACAAGGTTCTGTTGTTCTCAGCCAGTATTTCTTATTATTGTGTTCCTTTTGTTGAATAATATCACTTCTATATATCCTACCTGATTATTTTTTATAGTCTCTACCCCTTTCTTGATCTCTTGGCCTTCATAGTAACCCAGATAAGGTTGTGTCTTTCTCTTTATCTTCAACATTGTAAAAATTTTTGTGTGTAGAATTAATAACTGCAGCCTCATCTAGAGTATTTACTCTGCATAGGCACTGTCATGAGCACTTTACATCCATTAACCAGCAACAACTCTTAAGGGACAATTCTGGGTTAAAATCCAATCTAGCTTTTACAGGTCAGGATATAGGGAAGTTGAGTAATCTGCCAAAGTCACTAGTTAGGGAATGGAGAGGCTGGGCTTCTGGCTTGAGAGTCTGTACTCTGGATTACTTCCTGTCTAGACACTCACTAAATGGTGGACAAGTATCTCTATTACGTGTTTGAGAGTTTTCTGAGGAATATAAGTTCCAAAAGGTGGTAGTTCTCCTTTGGTGAGTGACACTTCCATCTATCTACTCAGTCATCCAAGCTAGAAACTGGTGTCAACTTAGATTTACATCCTTGCTGATTTTCTGTCTAGTGGTTTTATTGATTATGGATGTAGAGGTGTTGAGATGCCTAACTTTTCTCCTTTCAGTTGTGTTAGTTTTGCTTCATGTATTTTGAAGTTCTTTTGTTGGGTGCATACACATTAGGATTGTTTCGTCTTCTTATTGAATTGACTTGACTTTTTATCATTATGTATGTAGTGCCCTCCTTTGTCCTGGTCCACTTCATCTGCTATTCATGCAACCACTCCAGCTTTCTTTAATTAGTTGTTTTTCCATCTCTTTACCTTTAACCTACCTATTTTATGTTGGAAATGAATTTCATATCAACAACATGGTAATTTTTTTAAATAATAATGATAACCTCTTTTAACTGGTATTTATATATTAGGATTTAATTCTGCCATTTTATCTTTGGTTCTGTTTTTTCTCTCTGATTTTTGTTCTTCTGTTTTCTCTTTTCTACTTTCCTATGGATTGTTTGAATATTATTTATTATTCTGTTTTATTGTATCTGTATATTTTTTGGTATATTTTACTTTTCTTAGTGGTTACTCTAGGTATTACAGTATATATACATATTTAATTTATCCCAGTCTACTCATATCAATATTTTCCACTTCAGGTAGAATATAGAAACCTTAACATCACCTTAGACTCAGTGAGTTAGACTTCCTAAATATTTCTTGTATTTTCTCTCTCCTCTTTGTTCCCTGCATTAGTTCATACATTTCTTACCTGGATTGCTACAGTAGCCTCCTGACATATCCCATTCTCTTTTTTTCACTCCTCTTTTAATCTGTCTTCCTCACTGCCATAAAAATAATCTTTCTAAATATAACAATTCTGGGATGAGAATCTTTCAATGACTGTTTGTTGTCTTAATGATTAATTCCCAACTCCTCAGCCTGGCATAGGGCTTCCTAGGTGTTTCAGATGGTGAAGAATCTGCCTGCAGTGCAGGAGACCTGAGTTCGATCCCTAGGTCTGGAAGATTCCCCTGGAGAAGGAGATGGCTACCTACTCCAGTATTGTTGCCTGGAGAATTCCATGGACAGAGGAGCCTGGCGGGCTATAGTCATGGGGTCGCACAGAGTCAGATACAACTGTGCGACTTCCATAGCCTAGCACATAAGCTCTGTTATAATCTTGTTCTTATTTTTATAACCTCTTAATTTCTCAGCTCTTATCCATGCTTGGTTCCTTCTACACAAAATGATTTTCATTTATTCCGGGAATCCATGTTCTGCTTCCTACAATGTCCCTTGCTCCTTTCCTTCTTTACTTACCTCATACTTGTCCTTCAAGACTACACAGTTAAAGAGAAACCAGCAGCATGGGGCCTTTCTTGACTTCCTTTCTTCTATGAGTTATGTCCCTTCTGCTTTTTGTTAAATTCAGTCATACTGCTTACCAGGATGTGCTGTTATTAGCTTGTCTTCATTCTCTCACTCCATTTGAGCTCTTGGGAGGAATATGATACACATTTTTGAAATATTTTATCATAATGATGTGGCTTAAAACTGCATTTATGAAATGGATTTAGAGGTTTTAATGGACTGTAAGTTTATTGTGAGATAATTTGATCTTTGTTTGTATTACATTGGTAATCAGTCTTCCCGTGAATTTCCGTTCACTTCTGGACAATATGCTTAGTGGACACAGACAAATTAGAATGTATTCAGGAAATCAGCATGATAAATGGGTTGCTAAACCATCTTATAAGAGGAACAGTCAAAAGAGTTAGATTTTGTCACCTAGAGGAAAATTCACATGGTGACTCTGAAATAATTTGAAAGCCTTATTCCTTGTGCCTGGTAAGGAGACATCTATGCAAAATAGGAAGAAGTGTCAGACAGATGTATTTCATATTAATATGGGAAAATATTTTCCATAATTACAGGCATAATAGAATGGCATAGATTGAATTAATTTGGATAGTGGGTCATCTCCTGTGGTTGTTAAGATCAAGGTTAGGTGATCACTTATTAGGGGATATTGTGGAGAGAATGCAGACATAATAGCAATTTTGTACCTGAGGTTGTATGCAACTAACGCCTTGAGAAATGGACCTTGTATTCTAAGAGTTACCAAAACATTGGAGGTGTTTATGTTACGTTCATTCTTTATGTTACAGAAAGAATTGAAATACTAGTAGTAATTACTTGAAATATAACAGTTATTCTATTGATTATAGATAGAACCTACCTACTTCTATTTATTTGCCTAAATTTATGATTTAAAGGATAATAGTTATTTAGAGCTAAGGTGAGCAAATTTTGTTGCTTTTTGAAATATACCTCTGGTATATATTCTGAGGAGCACTTGGACTTGAAATATGGAAAGGATGGACAAAAAGTTTTTTCAAAGAAAAGATGTTTTTCTGTAGGGTAAGTATGTGTGTATTTGTTTTATTGTTTTTATAGCTTAAGAATATTATAAATACTCTTTTGAATATATTCCGTGTTTAGCTTTTAGAAATCAGAGGCAGACACAGCAGATGATAACAGCATTTGTTAAATCTGGTTGGTGGTTTGACCACTATATTTGTTTTTCTATATGTGAGATATTGAGATGTAATTGCTTTGACAGTGAATGATAGTTGTGTGTACATGAAAGTAATTGACCCTTGCCTACAGAACTTGACAGTACTGATGGTGCCAAGGTCTTCAGTAAGCAACCAGGAAGAATCCAAAGAGTAGCAAGAGGATCAGGGGTGTCAACAAGAGATGTCCAAGAACTTTTGACACAATATACCAAATTTGCACAGATGGTAAAAAAGATGGGAGGTATCAAAGGACTTTTCAAAGGTAAGAGGAATAACAAGTGCATCATTATTTGCCACTCTGAAAGGAAAGAAAGAGGTTGAGAAACTAAAAATTAAAGTCAGGAAGAACTGCCAGTATTAGAAAATATACTGCTGAATTTCATGTTTTATTCAAGTACTTCCAAGATTTATCATGTGATCTGTGATTTATCTGTTTTCAGATTCAAGGTAATAAACACTAATATTTTTTAAAAAATCACACTTAATGACTGTGTGTGAAGTTATATATTAAGGAAAATTTAGAGACTATGTTAAAATATAAGAAAAAAGTTTAAAACACCCATTACATTCACTCCCCAGTGAATCCCATGGGTCTTACTGCAAATAACATTTGATATAACTAGTATTTTCTTCTGATCTTAACTTCTTTTCCATATTGTCAAGTATTCTTCAAAGTATAACTTTTAGACAGATAGTGTTTTTCCAGTTATGTATCATTGTTTAGCACAAGTGCATCTTTGTCGGATGTTTAGGCTGATTGATATATCACTCTCAGTTCTATATCAGTACCAGTTCTTGTGTCAGTTTCTGTTCAGTCTCCTATGAAGCCAGGGATTTTTTCTGTTTTGATCAGAAACATAGGAGATGTTGAGTAAGTGTGGTAATAATTCAGTATTTTCCAATTTAATGGTCAGTTTTTCAATATGTGTTTTAGATTACTCATATTTAACATCTCTTCGTACATTTACTAGTTTGAATTTTCCTGGTGAATCCCCTCTTATTTAGGTTTCTTGTCCCATTTATTTTTTCCCTTATTGCTTTGTAATAACTCTTTAAAATTCTTGGATTATATCTGCAAATATTTTCCCCAGTTTTTCATTTGCCTTTCATTTTTATATTTTTAATGAAAACTGAAGTTTTCATTTTTAATGCAGTCAAACCTTTTGGTGTGATTTCTTTTATGCTCATAAAAGCCTTCCCCATGTTGGTACCACAGTGTGAAAGTGTTAATCACTGAGTCCTGTCTGACTCTTTGCAACCCCGTGAACTGTAGCCCCCAGGCTCCTCTGTCCATGGGATTCTCCAGGCAGGAATACTGGAGTGGGTAGCCATTCGCTTCTCCAGCATCTTCCCAACCCAGGGGTCAGACCCATTGTCTTCTGTACTGCAGGCAGATTCTTCACTGAGCCACCAGGGGAGCTCTGACACCACTGTAGCACCTATGTTTCCTTCTCCTCTCTCTGGTTTTTTTTTTTAGATTTTACTTTTTATCCCACCTAGAATGTATTTTGCTGTGTATTATCTAAGGTAAAAAGATGTTTGTTTTTCCAAAGAGTTAAAGCCAACTGTCCTAGCCCTGTCTTTAAATTTTTGTCTATATCTTAAGCACTATTAAAGTGAATTCATTATTTAAGAAATACTGGTTAGGGAAGCTTCAAAGATGAATAATATCACTGAATAGCTTTCTAAAACAGATGAGTATTTCTATGTCGCCTTTTATGTTTTGATAGTTTCCTTATTTTTCTTGCCTGCTATATCCTGTTTTCTTCTTTGTGACAAGGGAGAAAAGTGAGACAAACTTGTTTAAAATTGGTTATATTTCCTAACACCACATGCTATTTCAGATAGTGATTTATAAATACATTAAGTCAGTTTAACATCTTTCCCAAATGACCCTGACTGTTCATGATAGAGCTACTGCAGATCCGTTGGTCAGATGTTATCTAAGCATTGACTGCTCAGTAAAGGCACAACCAGATGAAGTAGGCAGTGAATTTGGTGCACATCCTTGTCACACCAAAGCCTTAATAATTTTTTTGAAGTTTTAAGTCCTCAGAGACAAAAACTTGCAATGAATCACCAGTGGTCATAGAATTCACATCTTACACAGATTTATTAATTATGAAACTAAAAAATTTTTATCATGTTTTATAAAAACATATCTTCTTTCATTCGTAGTTCTTAATTCATTTAATTTATTCATATTAGCCAGCTTTGATCAGAGAATCAGGGTCAACTTTGATTTGAATTTTCACAAATGTTCCTGAGAAGTACCAGAGTTAATGTTTCTTTGAAATAAATAGTTTTGCTGAAGCAAGCTCTACTTATTCATTGCTGTTGCATCAATGATCTCTTTGTCTTAAGAGAACAGCAGTTATTTTCTAAAGGATGCTTTTCTCTCTTCTGCCCCATTGTGCATCTCTTTCATTGGTTGCCTTTTTTGGTGTAGAATCTCATTGAGTGTGTAGAAATTCACTGATAAATGGAGCTTCATTATATTTTTTTCTATTCCCTGAAGCTTTTTATTTATAGTAACTTCTTAGATATATACATCTTGAGGTTCTCTCAGACTCATTCTTTCATAACCATTTATCAGTAATCCATTCTCATTCCCAGTTAACCCATATCTTTAAAATTTTTTGTTCAGCATTATACCATGTCACTACTAAACAATTGTTACAGCTTACTGTTAATAACCACTGGATATGGTTTTTGCTTATAGTGGCTCATTTCAAAGGTATAAGTAAAAGTGTTAAAAATTTGTCCTTAAAAGCCTCTTAAATGTCCCTTAATATTGAATTTCACTTTTTCTTTCTCAAAAATATATATGTAATTGGGACAAAGATTAGAAGGGCACTGGGAAGACCCAGAGGGATCGGGTGGAGAGGAAGGTGGGAGGGGGGACCGGGATGGGGAATACATGTAAATCCATGGCTAATTCATTTCAATGTATGACAAAAACTACTGTAATGATGTAAAGTAATTAGCCTCCAACTAATAAAAATAAATGGAAAAAAAAAAAGATTAGAAGGGAATATGTACAAATAGAAATAATTGTGTTAGAGTAAGATTATAGGGTTTTTCTTTGTATTTACTCAATTTCTATGATATCCTGATTATATTGCAGTCTATACTGATGCAAAAATTTTTTTAGGTGGTGACATGTCTAAGAATGTGAGCCAGTCACAGATGGCAAAATTGAATCAACAAATGGCCAAAATGATGGATCCAAGAGTTCTTCATCATATGGGTAATTACGAAATTGTTGCCAGTTGCTAATGCATGGTTTAGTTTATAAGGGTTGAGTTTTAATAAGCCTTCTATTGTTAATCAAAAATCAGATCAAACAGCGTATGGTGGAAAAGGCCCATCTAGCTTCTAAGTGGAATGGTTGTAATAGTGTTGTATAAGCTGAGGTTTCATTCACTCCCTTGCTGCTGTTTGATATTTTTGAGCAAGCTACATAATCATCTTTATAAAATATATATATATTTGGCTAAACACAGGGTCCTAGTTGTGGCATGTGGGATCTAGTTCCCTGACCAGGGATCGAACCCATGCCCCCTGCATTGGAAGTACAGAATTTTAGCCACTGGACTACCAGGGAAGTCCCAAAATTGTATTTTTATTTCTTTTCATTTCGTGGCCACGTGGACCACCTTGGGCCACCAGGGAAGTCCCTAATTATCTTTTGTTAATGCTTCTTCTGGTGACTTTTTGCCTTAGTTTAGAAACTGGATAGTTTTAGTGATAAGACTTTGGAATTATATAACGATTTTGAAAACCAAGTTCCATTTTTACCATGTAACATATGAAAAGTTCCTTAACCTTTCTGAACCTCACTTTCTTGTGTAAAATCACAGGTCATATCTTGTCAGGAAATTAGTACAGTTCTGGGCATATAGTAGATATTCAATAATGATGAATTGTTTTCTTACTTGAAGTCCTGTGCATTAACCACCACTCCAATTTATTACTATTTATAAGACTCAGACTTCCCAGAGAAAAATATTGTTTCAATTTACTGACTCCCTACTGTGTTAGGTACTGTTTGTTCTAAGATCTTTTCATGTAGTTTGTAGTCCTCATAACAGGATGAAGTAAGTTATTTATTCTCTTTTATAGATGAGGATACTGGTGATAATACAAATTTTTATGTACTTCACCGCTGGTGACCAAATTGCAGTCAGAACCCAGTATATTTTTTAGAAGTTTAAGTACTTAATAGGCAAAAGTAGCAGATGTTTCAAGTTCTGTATAATAATTACCTGATTTTATTCCACTGTCACTCTAGGTGGTATGGCAGGACTTCAGTCAATGATGAGGCAATTTCAACAGGGTGCTGCTGGCAATATGAAAGGCATGATGGGATTCAATAACATGTAAAGAAGATGCCTTAATATAAACTGACTCTGTTGATTACATTATTTGCTGAGACCTCAGAATTTCCCCTCCTTTTTGCAAATGGGAAAAAAAAAAAAAGTATTTTTCTTGCCTGTCTTGCCCCCTTTCTCTTCTTGTCTTTTCCCTTCCTTTTCTTTCCTTCTTTTTCCCTTCCTCCCTTTCATATGGGAGGAATATATGGTTGTTGTGGAAATCATTATATTTTTGCTTTAGATTTTCTTTTCTGTTAGTTTCAACCATCATAACACTTCGGAAGTTAAACAAATCATGATGTAAAATTTTAGTACTTAAAAGTTTTTAATTGTCTCAAAGGCCAACCATTACCTTTGTAAACAGTCCTGGTCAGTAGTTACATGATGTCTCAATAAAAGTGCTATACAATAAACTTCAAAGTCATTATAAGTTAAGGGGTTGTTTAACTTTCTTTATGGTTTAAAATGATCAGTGTATCATGTTAAAAGGCAGACAAAAAGATAATATTTAAAACTGTTCCCAGAAGTATACCTTTGTTGGGACACATGGTAGAGTAACCTAACCATTAGTATTAGGAATTTTTGTTTAACTTGGAATAATTAAGATAATTTTGCCATAGAAAATCTTAACTCTGACATTTAAATTGAAATTGTGAATTTGGTTATAGTTCACAATTTAATGTTTTATACATAACTTTCTTTTTTTTACCTCATATTTTTGAAGCCTGAATGGCAATATTTGATTTTCTTGCAAAGCCAATTTTGTTGTTTCTTACATACCAAAAATCTGCTTGAAGAAATTGATATACTTTGATGATAATAGCTGATGTATAGATCTCCTAATGGGAATATAATTGCAGATATTAGGATGTCATTATTATATATTAAAAAGAATGAGACCATAACAAGATTGACTTGGTTGTTGGTTACTTTGGATTGCTGTACAGTTCATTTAAGAACAATGGTAAGTTATGTAATTAATTTAAAACACTAGCATAATTATTATACCTATTCATTATTCACATCATGAAGATAATAGATACACTGTTATAACAATGTATTTTGAACTAGGATGAACTGATCTTCTGGAGAAGGAAATGGCAACCCACTCCAGTAGTCTTGCCTGGAAAATCCCATGGACGGAGGAGCCTGGCAGGCTACAGTTCATGGGGTTGCAAAGAGTTGGACACGACTGAGCGACTTCACTTCACTCCCTTCACTCACTTCATACTTTATCGCTGGAGAAGGAAATGGCAAACCACTCCAGTGTTCTTGCCTGGAGAATCCCATGGACAGAAGAGCCTGGCGGGCCATGGGCCATGGGGTCACAGAGAGTCGGACACGACTGAAGTGGCTGAGCACTCACGCACGAACTGATCTTCAGTGAAGAACTGATTTATAGTAGTAGCAGAGAGTGAAAAATAGCTAGTTTTCGTAGTATTAATTTTTTATGTCTCGAATGTTTTAAAAAGATCTTAAAAGCCAAAGTGTCTTCAGAAAATACTTACATAGGGAATGCAACTGATTTTCTTATTTACTTGGGTAGAGATTTTATATCCCAGTAAATCATTTTCACCAGATAAAAACTTTAATATCCCTATGGAATATTTGTATACTCTGTAAAAATTATGTATCTTTTCTTCTGCAGAAATGTCATCACAAGGTCCAGCTACAGAAATTTGACAATATAGAAAATACAGTTCTCCAAATTAGTCTTATTAAACTAATGCATGCCACCTTGTCTGGGCATGCATTATTGTGATTTCTATCCTCAGGGACCACTTTTCCATTTTGACCAAAAAAAAAAGAAATGAGATACATGGCCAAACTTTATGGATTGGGGCTTTTTGTGTCTGATGCAAATTATCTTTTTCAGAAGCAAAAATAACAGTGGCAAAGGCCAGTAAAAGTCCAGAATGTGTCATTCAGCTTCTGTTTCTCTTTCCTCATCTATAGAACAAGGAAATTGGAGATGCTCTGACTCCATTAATGCCTCAACCTGGCATCTTTTTGGTTACAAAAGCTATCCTTCAGTTCTCAGTTTTTATCAAAGTACTGATATTTTGAAAGCATAAGTATACTAAAATCCTTTAGTAATCTGAACAAATTTGCTTTTATTTTTCACTATTGTTAAAATTCGTTTCTTGGCTTTTTGATATATTTTCTATTACCAACTTAGAGCACTAGCTAGACCTAATATCATACAACATTGGATTCTTCCTGGATTTGATTATAATGTTATGTAAATATGTACAGATATAAAATTAGATATAATTTATTTTACTTAGTGCTTATGTAATTTTAAAACAAAAACAATGTAATTATCAAAAAAATTATAATCCAAGAAAATGCAAATTAATAATTTAATGGATGTCAGTGTTCTGAAAGTATATTTGTTGGCATGTAGGATATAAGGTGTACACAATGCACTGAAACTTTATGGAGGCATTTTTTTGGGGAAAAAAACTACTTTTCATCATATAGTAAAAGTGATTTTTAAAGTGTGTTACATAAGCCATTATACTGTTGAAATAAATACAGTATATCAAAATGTGAGAAGTCCTAAGTTCTGATATGCAATAATAATATACTAACCTTGAATAGAAGTATAGTGCACATGTCTAAAAAGAAATGTATTATTATGAGAAATATTGATATAGACAAGGCAACAAAGCCAGGAAATTTACTAGAACTAAAGTCTCATATTAATATTGGTAAAATTAATATATTAATACCTATTATCAGTGAATGTAGAGGTTAAGTAGCTCTAGTACATATAAACAAATATTTTGAGTAAAAAGTGGAACACAGTGTTTAAATGTGAAGAAATTTCAGCTCACTAATTGTATGCAGTAAAAGCAAGTGTTTTATTATAGTAAAATAACAACCACAGAATTTGAATGAGCTCTAATAAAAACTGTTGTCAGTGAGAATCATGGCTAAATAACAATGAAATGTAAGTCAGTTTTGGTCTTCTTAAAACCTGGCAATAATTATTAATAAAGCCAAGTAAGTTATCATATTCAAAACTAGAAAACCATCACCACAGCTCTTATCTGTTCTTTTCATTCCTGGCATTCACTGGATTGGAAACAGAGTTATCTTCAAAATTCTGCTGTAAACTCCAGCTGCTGTGTTCTGAACATTAAGCTATTGCATTACGGTTGAACCTAAATACTTTCTTTGCTTCTGAGCCACAAGTTATAAGAATGATGAATCTGTATCTCAAATTTCGGGGTATTAATTTAAATTTTACTTCTAGATCACCTGTATAGTCTGTGTCTTGTTATTGATGTGATATGAAATTTTGCTATGACTTTTCCCCCCACACTTTGTCATTAGGGACAGAAAACAATTTATCTGTGCTCATTGTTGAGTAATTGCTAACCCAAGACTCTAGTCCCATCTCTGCTGACCTCTTATCTGTAATATGGGCATACTGCATACAAGGTAATTTTTGGATACTTTTAAAATGAAAATACAGATTGTAAGCTAGTGGTACATTTCCTTTGGTAATATTAATTGTAAAGCTAGTGGAACATTTCCTTCAGTAATATTAATGTGGTACACACAAGCTCTTGAATTTGGCAGGCCTGTGTTCCTGCTTGCAACTCTCGTTACTTTTCTCTTCATTCAGAATCATTATTTGAAGTGCATTTATATCCTTTAGCTTCATTTGGCCTAAAGTGTTCTCTTGTTAGCCTTAAAACAATGCATTTTTTGGTACCAGTTGGATCATAAATGGAAAAACAATCAAATTGCACATCAGCACCTGTTTGTAGGAGGGATAATGTAGATGAGTCTGACGCTAAGAAAACCACTATGTGAGGCCTGAGCATCCTCTGACATAAAGACTTGCTTCTCATCAGAAGCAGAAGTGAGTAATATCCTATGACTGTGATTTATTTTTCTTAACAAACACATGAAAAAGTTTTGTGACCTTCCAGGGAAAAGTTCCATATCTACATCGTGAGGAGATGCAATACCTGCATATCTGCATAATTTAGGAATCATGATTTTTTGCTTTTTATGATTTTAAAATAGAATGTAAGAAAATAAAGAGGTAACCCAAAGTAGGCTAAGAGTTAGGTATATTCATGAACCCATAATTTCTGACTTTGGGAATCAATTAAGGGGTTCAGCATTTTATTTCTGGCAGAAATGGTATAAGAAATACCCACCTGTTTCTTGACATTCCATTTGACAGGAAATAAAGGGAGTGTGAAGCCCATAAGTTGATGTCTCTCTTTTTTTTTTTTAAGTTTCTTATTGTTTCCCAAGAATTTGGATTGGAAGGTAAATTTGTATTTTATATACAATTGGATTATCTAGTTCATCTCATCTGTTACTAGGGAAAGGTATGGTTTTCTTAGTCTAGAAAAAGTACTGTTCTCAGGATTTTTTCCTTTTGACACTGAGCCAACATTAACAAATTATATAGAGAATTCAGCAAAAGTTCAACATGGGCAGAAAACCTGGATGTCCTCAGCATCAGTCATTTATGCTGTTGTACCATTTACAATTTCCCCTTTTGCCTATGATTCTTCCTGGAGAAGACATCACAGGAGTAACATCTAGTCCCACAAAACTGGAGTGGCTTGGTTGCCTGTTCTGGATTTATCATATCCCTCAAAGCGGGGGTTGAGTGTAAGAGTCAATAAATGGATCAGGAAAATCACTGGCAGCATTGTGATACTGCGCTGCCTCAAATACAGTGATCTGTGCCAACCTTAACCAAGCAGAAGAATGGTTAGGTATAGAAGTAAACAATTTAAGCAAGTGCTTTACCAATATACAGAAGCTAAGTTACTAAGAGCAATATCCCAGTTTCCAGAACAATTCTGAACCAAGTCCAATATTTAAGGGTGATCAGCTGAACAGATCAAACATTAGGGGAATGTTAAGGGAATCAGAATGAAGCCAAGTGAGTTTCTTTTGTAGGACTTCACTTTGAGTTTCTAGTCGGACACGACTGAGCGACTGAACCGAAATGATACCAAAAATATTTATCCAAGTATAGCAGGTGGTGTTTAAGATAGCATGAATATTTCCATGTTCTGCCAAAAGGCAGTCCAAGGCAAATCAGTTATCTAATATAACATGAGTGAGTGAGTTTAGAAAAATTTTTTGGTCAACTTAATGCTATAACTGTGACATTAGCTATGTCTGCTGCTTTGGCAGATTTCAAACCATATTGTCAAGGATTCCAATTCTCCACTTGGGGAATAAAATTCTTAGTTCTGAAATCCCTTAAAAGGGCTATCTCAGCAGAGGTGGGAATTAGAGCACGTGTGCTATTTGGTAATTTCAGGAGAACTGAACACAATCAAGGGGGCCAGTAAAAGCCCTAGGGCACATTTAGAACCCGGGATTTAGGTGGTGGTGAGGCAGGACATCTTCCAACCACAAATAGATGCGCCCCACAGCCAGATGGGGTGCAGAGAAAGGAGTCAAAGTGAAATGAAATCATCAGTTAGTTACATTTGAGCAGCCTAGAAGCCTTCCTTGTAGGAACATGTGGGGATCATCATGAGGATATATTCTGTTGCACAGCAACGTAAAGATGAGAGCCAGTGTTTCTCGGTCCTATTGGAACAAATGTTCTAAACTATTGGGTTTTTGTCTGATTCTGTCGACCAAACAGGAAAAAGGAGCTATGAATTCAAGTAGGCAAACATGGTATGCTGTGAAAATAGTTAATTCTATACAGGATACGGTGGAGGGATATTAATAAGATTGGAAATAGTCAAGGCAAGGGAATCCCACTGTTTGATGAATGAGTCTGGGGTTCCAACAGCATAGTCAACAATCTGTTAGATTCCCTTCAGGGGCTAGACTTTGGGAAATGCAGACTAGGGCATTATTCTTCCAGGCATAAAGGTTCTGGGTGGGTTTTAAGAAAGAATAA